TTTCTGGTGGATAGGTATAGTCACACAAAAATTGCCCCCCCCCTGAACGAAATCCTGTATCCGCGCCTGAACTCGACACGGATTCATGAATCATACAAGCAGGAGTATACAATCCTATAAAATTAAATGTACAGCGTGTTATTGAAAGGTATGTACAAAATAAAATCGGTAATTGGTATGGGTGCTAAAAGTAAAATAATACCCTGTATGACACCAAAAAAAAAGGGAGAAATTAGTACCAAGTAAAATGGTACCGTTCACCCCACATTTTGTTTTTTAATTTATTATAAGGTGCTTTCTCATTTTTAACAGGGCAATTTTGACTTTGAAGTGTTTTTTTAATTTTTTTATAAATATATATAAAAAAGTCAGCGGCTTCTATATGGATCCGCTGGAATCATGGTCAAAATTTTTAGAAATCCACAACTTTTTAAAAAAATACCTTAAAAATGGGGTGAAATGTTAAAAAAATGCATTAAAAAAAACTTGACTTTTTTTATTTTATAAAAAAGCAATAAAAAACTTCAAAGTCAAAATTGGCTAGTTTGTTTAAAACATGATAAAGTACCTTAAAATCAGAGGCGGCTCATGACTTGAAAAATTGATGAGGCAAAGTACAAAACGCTCTAAAATATAAATAAATCAAGATTATTTAAATATTTTCTATTTAGTCAAATAAACAAATTTGTAATACTCATTTAACTGTCCACAAAGAACCAACGTGAAGGTGTAAGGAGGTCTTGCAAGGAAAGGATGAGAATGAGAGGACAAAAGGAAAGGGAAGCGTGGTCAGAAAAAACTAATATAACTTCTAACAAAAAACAAAATTAAAATAAACTTTAAAGAAAACATATCGAAAAAGATCAAATACAACATAAAATAAAGCTAATTTGATTTATAACAAAAAACAAAATGAAAAAAATATAAAATATAAATACGGATTTATTTTAAATTTTTTTTATGGATCAATTAACGATTTACTCAAATCAGGAACCGGCGGTTTTAATTCCTTAACTACATACAATTTATCATCATACGTGAAAGTAGAAAAAACAGAACTGCCATTGTCATTTAACGTTAGTAGAGAAAAATTCCGATTTACTCGTAATCTTAAATAACGATTACCCAAATCAAATTATGACAAGCACAAAGCACTAACGCCACGCAAACGTAGGCACTTTTAAGACAAAATTCTGTTATCGAAATTTTGAATCAATTTATATACACACAGATTTGTGGCAAAACAATCAACGGCCTAATTTTGAACACTCCTGCGAATGCAGACTGCATTGTAATCGCACGTTCCCCGCGCGCAAATATTATAGTTTTCCATCTCTTTTGCAAGCACGGAAATGAGGCTAGCCTCAATTTTGTCTTTTTTCAACTCATACCGCTTATGAGTGTATAGCAGGTTGCTTGCCTATTAACGACATGATTTCTATATATGCTGTAGAGGCAAGCTTCGAGTCGGCCTCATTCGCGTCACAAAATACATGTTGTGCCGAGTGTTTAAGCGCGCTGTTTAATTAAGGGAGCAACGAGTACCTACCGAAATAAAAATAAGAATATAATTTTCTATATTTATTTTTAAAATTTTAGAAAAAAGACACTAATTATTGGCCGAAATGTGTCCGTATAAAATAATAAAAATCCTAATAAGGCGTAAAATTCATTGGTGAGGCACTGCCTCACCTGCCTCATAGGACAAGCCGCCCCTGCTTAAAATAGATGAAAAAACAGGTAAAAAAAGCATAAATAGATTGAAAAAAAAAAAAAAGGTGAAACGTACCATTTTACTTTCTACTGATTTCAGTTTAGAAATGTCATCTAAAATGTCCGATAATCCAATCCTAAACCCGAGTCATTCACATCGAATTGGATTTGAAATAATAAACAATGCTTTTGAAATCACCAAAAATTAGATTTGGTAAATATGAATTAAATCGGTAAAATTGTAAAATCGTGTGATTATTGTTTTAAATTTTGGTTTATTTCTGCAAAAATCTGGATGTCTAGAATAAAAATTCAACAGGAGTTCATGAACCACAGGTGCAGGAGTATCGTATTTTATAAAACTTAAATAATATTTACTACTGTAAATTTTGGAGATAACGTTTACAAATGTTGGTAGGAATGATTAGCCAAATTTTGATCGTCTACACGATATTCGTAATACACATATAAAATTTAACAACTGATTCAGTAGTTGCGGAGATTATCTGTCTAATAAAAATCCGGACAGACAGGAGAGACGGAAACGGGCGACCTATTGTTTCGTACTGAATTTACGCTCTGAAAGTAAAAAGATGCTCTTATTTAATATTTACATATATCGTTTTTTGTGTCTGTTATATTTTTAGGAATATTTATTGCATTTGTAATTGTAACTTCCTGCATATGTAAATGTAAATAATTGTATAAAAAAAGTAGACTGTTTCGGTCTCCACCGGACACAATCCGACCCTGTACACGATATTCCTAATATACATAAAAAATTTGACAACAATCGCTCCGGTAGTTTAGAAGTCTAATAAAAATCGACAGACGCAAACGAGAAACTTATGTTTTCTTATTCTAGGGGCCATGAAACGTCGAGAAAACAAAAAGTAACGAGTTGCCCGATGGACTCGATTACAGTACCTTTTTAGGAAGTAAAAATACACTTTGTCATTATACTCACTTAAGATTAAGATTAAGTAAATTCGTTTTTTTAGTGAATTTTTTTTAGTAACGTAATTTTGAATATTCTGCTTTTTAATACTAATGCAATAATGGAAAGCACACCGCAGTCGCACGTGCTGCGCGCTGAAATATCATTACCTGTCAACCGTTTGCAGACTGTAAAATAAAAATAACAATGTTTCACATTTGGTTATAAAATATTAGAAAAAAGTTACAGGCCAGAAATGTATCGGTCAAAAAAATAACAATAATACAACACAAATTCATTGCTGAGGCATTGCCTCACCTCCCTCATAGGACAAGGTACCCCTGGAAGCAGATTAATAATTGCTTCAAAAATATGAATGCATTGACAAAAGGCAAGTTATGCCTATATTTCTAGTGAGCTGTCCCAAAGACAATTCCGACATGTGCAGAGTAATACTAATAATAAAACACTGGCCTGTACCGTTCTTGAGATCTAATCAATAGAAAAATACGATAACCAATTGATATATAATAAAAAAAAATAAACCATAAGAGTTTACCACAAGTGTAGGAGTATATCACTGTATAACATTTAAATCATTTTAATCTGGAATCTTTTGAGATGACGTTTGACCATCTACATATTCATAATACGCATACAAAATTTGCCAACAATCGGTCTAGAAGTTTCTGTTTCTGGCAACACAGACGACAGACAGACGGAAACGGGCGACCACTTCTTTCGTACTCTAGGAGTCATTAAATGTGGAGAAAACATGAAAGTAGCAAGTCGCCCAATGAACTTGATTACAATACGTCCTTCGCTTGCTACACTCGGGAAGTAAAAATAAAAATGTATTAAACACGTTGACCGCTGATCTCAAAATTAGCACTTTGTCGTTCGCTGTTCATTTGAAAAAATCGTCAAGTTGGTTTTGTTTTTTTGACAGAAGACAATGAAAAACATATTGACCATACCGACCCCAGAGGACAAGAACCACATGGAAGAAACGGTAAAGTAAAATTTGTATATAGGATACAGAAACGTTTATTTGTGTATTTATAATTATACAAAAAGTATAAATTACAAAACAGGGAGCCTAGAAAATTAACTAAAACATATGAACACGTTGTAAATGAATAAAAAATTATCAATACACTTCAGTTAAAAAATTTGTTACTTATGACATTTATTAAAACCAGGTAAACAAAAACCGGATTTTCTAAGGCAGAAACTTGTAACACAACGCACTTTTTTCCCTGCTTTTTTGCTTGGTAGTTTGTCGGCGTTCATTATAACATCCCTTACAAACCTTTCGCTTTTTACGTCCTGATCCCTCAGGTTTCATAAATGTATTAGCTCTTTTTCTTGGTATATCAGTTGAGTTTTCTATCCGTGAATCTGCGTGACCTGACGAATGAACGTGTAATTTGTACATGTACAAGACAAAATATTTCTTGTTTCAACACGTTCGTACATATCTCTGGTGATATGTGCCAATTTTTGAAGTGATAATGAAAAACAGAGTGAAACTGGTTGACTACTTTTTTAATTGATTTATTAGGGAAAATAACAAATTTATAGCTATTGCAAGTTGAGACAATACATATCGCCGGAGGCTTGTAACATAGTCAACGTGTTTTTTAAAATTACTTTAAAAAAATCCTATATGTTTTTTTAACAACTGACAAAACCACCACAAATTCGCTCATATAAAATATACTTGCATAAAAAATAAAATGAACTATAGAACTACGTGTCCATTTAAATGCAATATTTCAAATTATTTTTTTGTTGTTTAAAAAACAATAGTCCTTTGTGTAAATATTTTTATTTATTAAAATTTAACAACGGTAAAGCATAAATTGAAAAATAATACGTGAAACGATTATATACGTAGATATAGTTTATTTTCATATGGTGGTTTTGTAATTTTTATATTCATAGTACATTAAGTATGGCTCCCCTTCCGTAAGAACCACCTCTATTACTAAAGACTTGAATTACCACGTGAGATAAGAATTATGACACGTATCTTGAATTAAAGAAACATCACCTTATGCAAAAAAAATCAAGCTCGTGCGTTGAATTGAAACAGTCCCGGCAGTAGTGAGGTTGATTTTCGCAATCACTGCAATAAGTGGACACCTTTCTCACACGATTCTTCGATATTTCACCTCTTGCTTTTTTAGCGTAGCAGCCTTTACAATACCTCCTTGTCAGGCCATCCTTCTTCGCAAATGAGTGATATTTCATCAATATTACAGGTGTTTCTTCTTGTTCTGGTTCCCTTTGACTACCTTCCTCTTCCTCTTCCTTTATTGCAAATGTTGCTAAAAACGTTGGATATAAAAGAGTAGGTACACATATATGTTCCAAATTTTGTTTGTTTAAATGTTAAGCACGCTTGGCGTCAACACAGCGACATTTATTAAACGAAATCACAACCACAGATCAGTTTTTTCTTGCTTTTATTGTAATTGGAGCAAGGTTTGTACAAATATATTGTGCTTATTAATGGTTGTTTAATTTCACATTCCAAGTTGGTTGTGCATTGCTGAACGGTTTCAAATTTCCCGGTCGCCGTCATTGATTTGATATTTAAACTGACGGTTTAGCGATGCACAGCTAACTCTAAACACCGAATTTACCGAACAATGGTTTTCATTGTGTACAAAATAGACAAAATATTTCAATGATTTTCCTAAATTAACTTGCTAGCTGTGGGGCAGTTGGAACGATTGGTGATTTTAGTTAGTTTTGTGTTGATTCCGATTCTTTCAGCAGCTTCTTTAGTCCACGAGGCAATCTGATTTTTACCTACTGGGCTATCTTTATACCAAGCACTCGTTTCAGATTTATTCCAATAAGGATTTGGTGTCAAAAACAACCTATCAGTATTTATGTTGCTATATGCAGTCCTTTTGTCTAGCAATTTTAGTAATAACCTGTAACATTTCCTCTTTTTTACAAATTTATTCTAGAAAAGTAAAACTAACACTAACCTTACAGGGCATATGTTAGGATCGGCATTATTAGCAACTAACCATCGACTTTCATTATAACCGCTTTCGTTAGACGTTCTACCAAAACTGGGATTGTATTCAATTCGTCCAGTAAACACTCCTGTTTGATCAAATTCTTGTCGAAAATAATAGGTCAGACAATCTGTAGCTTCTCGACCTTTCCAAGCTAATTCAAATCCTACAATGTGGAAGAATTTTCGCTGCAAACCAATAGGCGTATTTTCGTCCCAGAGCGTATATATTTTATAACGTTCCGTTTCAGTAAAAATTATCGAACTGACTTTTCTCTTTTCTGGGCAACATCGCAGCTGGAGCCTTTTAATATCGCGTGAATCTCTTGCCTTCTTAAAATCGATATCCCGAAACGGATCAAATTTTATCTTGTATTTATCGTAAAACATTTCTTGAATCATCTTCGCTGTAATGTTCCAGATTGTTTTAACTACACCTTCCTTATAATCAGAGCCGTCGGCCTTTCTCATATTCAGACCCCAATCAGCTAGTATTTCGCTTATTTTTTCTGTTGACGTTGATTCATCCAACGTATAATTTCGGTGCTGACAAAATGTTTTGAAAGACGACCAAATGTAATTTTTGGTTTTGCTTGTATTTTTAGGGATTAACTTTTGCACGGGCTGAGTCTGATTTCCGAATCGTTCGAATATCTGGCTTTCTTCCACGTCAACTTAAACAACACAAACAAATCTATTAGTCAATAATGCACACACTATCTGACTATTTCCCGAACACTACCGCGTTTGACGCACGCAATAATGTTGTACATGATCTGTTGAATTAATAAATACTTGCTCCTCTTGTGGTTTATAGTGTATGAGGAATATGTATGCACAACAGAGGTAGTTATTGTCAACACACAGCCTTATGTGTAAAATAATGAGATAGCACACTCTTTAATACAGTTATATTCTGTTCACCAAACAGATGGAGTTGTAAAAGTGTGCGATTTTCACGTAATTTTTTAAAATCGTAATACTGTTGAGAGATTTTGGGGTACCACCTTGCACACAACTCAACAAATAACACCTGCCCTTTCATCGTCGTGCCTCTTTCCAGTTTTTAGTGTGTTTTTTTCCATAAAACATTTTTAGTGTCAGTTTAACGTGCTCTTTTCTAATTTAAAATTTTAAAAACTGTTATTAAGGGATTAAAATATCGCAATCGCAATATAATTCGGTTTGAAAACCGTGCCACTGCTTACCATAGATAGGTAGATAAATAGATAGATAGAAATCTACGATATAATAATGTTTCGACTGAAATACCTTGAAATAATTTTACATTAAACTAATGGTTGTTTCACATTATTTAGATTTTTATGTTATCTCGAAATCCGAAAATTTCTTTTCCATGCTCGGTTCTTATGAAAAACATTTTGGACTATACTGTATGTTATTCCAAAAACAACGAATATATTTCAGACATCTCACAGAAGTATTTTATATGTTCGATTTTGATTTAATCGAGAAAGCTTGAACGCTCACTTTGTAGGCACATGAAGCGCACGTCATCACTCCATCTGTTCGGCAAACGGACTGTAATCAGTCGGGGAAGCAAGAATTGAATGGTATAATAATGGAAGTAGTATGACGAGACTACTTACAATGTTCATCATACAAGTTTACTACAAAAATTCTGCAATAAAAGTTGATAAAAACATTATTTTCCCTTGGGTTGCATATTGGAAACAATCGTGAAATTTCCATTTGATGTTCTCAAATCAAAATTCGGATCTCACCAGTATTTTTTAAACGTTAATTTTCTCTCCCTTTAATTGATATTTTAAAGGAGGACAACAGGCAGATATTGCATTCAATAACCCCGATCGATAAAATCGACAATATGTAAAAAAGTTATACTAAATAAAAATTTGCAACAAATTACTTTCACTGAAAAATTTAAAAGAAAATATGGAAACTATTTTTAAAGTCAGAAAACACCATATCACCGTCCGATGTTAGCACAAACGTAAATTTAATTTTCTTAATTTTCTGCTTAATTTAGTCCGTAAGTCACCCTGTTTTATGTTAGAAATTATGCAGCCTTTTAAATAAAATTATTATTTTGAAGCAATGTATGTTGCATATGTAATAAGAAGCTTATGGTTGACGGTGGTTTTAGGTCCACTTATAGCATAGAATCTAACTGAGAGACACACAAACATGAAACCTCTACGCATGCGCTAATTTAAATTAGCAGGAGGCAAACGCGCCTATGAGGTCATCCTGCCGCAGCTACGCTGTGCGAGTACATAAAACTGAAGACAATATAGATAGTTGCGGAAACTAGAAATTAAACATTGTAACTAAAAAGTTGCAGGAGGTAACACGAACTCACAAGCATTACACTGGTAGTTCAATATTTTCCCAATAAACCCAATGCTCATAATAGGAGCATTAAGTAAGTGTTCACTATGCGCACGCGTGTGAAACAGTGACACTGAATTAACCTTCTTGCTTAAATTGTTTTTTTATTATTAGCTGTCATTTTTCAAGTATATTATCTACAAATGTAGGAATCACTCGGTGCGTTATTGTCATTATAATAACATAACGTTTATCCCCACAACAAGGATGTAAAAAAAATCCTTAATGTTAGATGACAACGAAGTGTTAAACATTTCCAGAATATAAATAATATACCACAACCACTAAATCGTAACTGACAGACTTAAAGTTGCGAACTTTTATGCATTATAATATGATCGAAAAAAAAACTCCTCTAGTAGGCCGTGCAATTTATTTTTAAAACAATGATGTTGGCAACACCAACGCGTTCCTTGTTTAGTTTGACAGTTACCATCTGTCCAATAAAAAAAGTTACGTTAGAGAAATGACAAATCGAAAATTCGAAACTGCAAATCTTGTCAACAAATATTTTTTGCAAAACAAAAGATCTAAAAAAGACGCCACTGCGTTTTGCAGTTTGAAATCTGAAATTTCAAGTCCAACAGATAATATTTTTCGACGACTAAATAAACCAAACTATTCTAGTTCAGGTTTACCAACTCTCTCAATCAATTTTGATGGCCCTGTACAATCGAAGAAATCCAGTTTATTCGAAAAACGATAAAATTTTCATTTCGCCAAATTTTATTTATTTTGAGACCCCTATAAGCAAAAAAAATTGGTCGAAAGTTGTTTCGACAGAACTTCCCTCGCCCCTGAAGTACAATGAAACATATCCAGCATTTTCGAGTTGAGTTTTTTCTTTACGCAATTTTGTAAAGACGTCATCAACATTTTTGCAAAGACACGTATATGAACTTGGATTAGTACAATTTTTTTAAAACATCCTGTACAAGCAAATTTAAAAAATATGGATACAATGATAAATCACAAGTAAAAACTCATCATATTTTGCACATTTTGGGTAGAATTTATTCGGCAAAATGTTGAGTTGACGTCGTCAATTTTTTGGGGGGAATAAACAGATTTTGATTAACAATTTACCGTGCTTCCAATAACTTTAAAACGTGTGCAAGATTTCAAAGTATTCAGTTTTGCAATTCTTGGCTTATTCAATCAAATAAATTGACTGATTCATTAATTTTTTTAGTGACCCTGTAAAAGCAAATCTGAAAAATGAGGTTCTTAACTGGTCGAAAGCTATAAGTACAATTCGACAAATCCAGCTCTTAAAAAAATGACAAAATTTGATTTTACGATTTTCGTTTTGTGACAACCGCTGTAAAGTAAAAACCAAAGGCATAAATAACACCCCTTGTCCTTGAGTATTAGGTAATAGGTTTTTGCGAAAATTTGAACGTTTAGCGAAAAAACTGAAAGGGGATTCGTACACTACACGTACATGAGTATATTTTTTGTGTAACATTCAAATCATTTTAGAATACCATTCACAGAAATAACGTCATCAAATTGTTGGTGGGGATGATTAGCCAAATTTTGGTTAACATTTACCATCTACATGATATTTCTAATATACATACAAAATTTGACAACAATCGATCTAGCAGTTTCGGAAATTGCGTGTCTAATAAAAATGGATACAAACAGACAGCCTGAAACAGGAGACTACTTTTTTCGTAGTGTAGGGGTCATGAAACGTCGAGAAAGTGGCCATTCGTCCGATGGACTCGATTACAATGCTTCCTTTGCTTACGCTCGGGAAGTAAAAATATACATAAATAATGCAAAAAAACACTTCATAAGGTTGGGATATGGTAGCGCACATGTCCGAAATCAGCACTTTCCCCATCAAGCACTTGACAGTAAAAAGAGATATCGGCTATATAAACCAGAGAAAATATTGCACACATATTTTTGTAAGTAATTGTGATTAAAATCGTAGGGAATTCATGAACCACGAGTACAGGAGTATTTTATTTCTTAAAATTTAGATAACCTTAAGGATGCAATATAATGAGTGGACGTCGTAAACTTATTAGTAGGGACAATTTGACAAATTTTGGTTAGCGTTGTGTCATCTACACGATACTCCTACAATACATACAAAATTTGACGACAATCGGTCCGGTAGTTTCGGAGATTATGTATTTAATAAAAATCGACCCGGGCGACAGACAGATGAAAACCATCTTTTCTCGTACTCTAGGGGTTATAGAAAGTCGAAAAAACATTAAGGTAGCCAGTCGCACGAGATAATATTGACTTAGCTTAACACGTTGACTGCCGTGTGAGACCTATGTGGACTCGCATCGCTGAACGACATATTTTGCCGTGTGAAACAGCACTGGACTCCGCAACTGCATTAAATTATATGGCACTGAAAAGTGCTCGACACAGTGAACCAGATGCATTATTTGGCTTGTGTGTACGTGAGACCAAGGTGGATTCATACGGCTTCGCAACATGTGTGTCAAAAAAATATGCATAATGTAATGTTTGATAGAAATTTATTAATAATACATATAAAACAAGCAAAATTTAACACATAAAAATTCTTAGTTGACTAGTGCATATACAAAATTAAATTGTAACAGCATTATGTTTTTCAAAAAAGCAATCAAGGCAAAAGTGTTGAGCGCATAATGAACATTTTAAAACGGTTTGAGGGCACTTTCTTGTCGCTTGTATTCTGCCTATGTCTGCCTTCAATTTTTCGTAACACACACTGCAACGTCTTCTACCTTTTCGCCCCATATCTTCTAATTTATGGGTAGCTCGAATTGTTGGTGGAGGCGCTTCGTCCATGTTTATAAGTTCAGTTACTACTTTTTCCCTGAATTTTGTTCCTGACATAGTTTCATTCGCTATTGATTTGAAACGGACATATGGATTTACCAGTGCCGTTCCTGCCAATAATTCAAGAGCTAATTTTCTGTACCATTTTAAACTTATTCGCAATGAAGAATTGTAACTTTTTGCCTGGTCCGACATATCAATATTTTGATTATTTTGACGTAAATTTTACAACTTGAAACAGAAAATCTGCCTACATCCGTGCAAATGCAAGTGGACATAGAAAACAGCGCATCTGTGAAAGTTGGGACGGGAAAATACAACAAAAAAATTATATTTTACTAAAAACAAGCAAAGGTAAATTTCGCAAAATAGTGCAAATACGTTTGTTCATTGATTTTTTATATTTGACGTAAAAAAAATTGAGGTGGCGTGTGGGACCTGATTTAATTTTACATAAGGTGGCAGTCAACGTGTTGCTCGGGCAATAAAACAGTTTATATGAAGCAAATTAAAAATGAGTTCTTGAATAAATATTTCAAATCTCATTTGGGTTTGATTCTTGGATTTGATCACACGATCTATTAACCAAGTTAACCAAGCCTTTATTAATTGGACCAAATCGTTTCAATGGAGTTTCGTATGGTTTCATGGCCAGTCTGGATCAAGGCTGTTTGGTTCATAATATTATACATATATCTGTTCCCATTTCTTGATGGACACACAGATAGTGTACGTAAAATTTTTACAAAATATTGCGGAAAATGTAATAATTACTTTTAAATCTCCGTAGGGAGCATAAGACAGATAGGTATATACACCTACACAGAAACTAAACATGCTTTTCTACGTGGTAAGTGTATAGAGAAAATAATCTCAACAAATATCTTTTGTTAGTATACTACAAATTTGTAAGCAAACAAATATTTTAGTATTTAGATCCAATGGTATGTTCTGCTTTAAAATATAACAAGACAATCAGAATGGCACACATGTTAGCAGTTAGTTAATTCGTATTATACTGAATTCCGCTGTTATGAAACTAGTAAACAGTAATTTAAATCGGCCAATAGCGTAATTTCATACAAGTAACTTACATTTTCGTTATTAACTTCATTCATCGCATTATAATCAAATTAATTTTCGATGAATGAGCATTATAATCAAATTAACATACATATACAAAAGTTATTGCGTCATAAAGGCATAATATTAATGCTTTTATGAACCAACACAAAATTCTTTCCTTTTAAAAATACATAGTTTCAAATAAAAATACATGTAAAAATTATGTAGTAGATTGCTAACCACAAAACTAAAGAAAACAACCAGAATCTTACTACAAACAAAAAGATTATACACGTTGACTCCGGATTCAAAATCTGTACAGTTGTTCGCTACCGTACATATCGCTGGAGTCCAGAAAGTGCACGTTATTACCAATCATCGTGTGCGACATCTGCACCTTCGTAGCGAAAACATCTCTTATTTTTAAGTAACGTTACTTATGACATTTATTGAAATAAGATAAACAAAAACCGGGCTTTCTAGGTCAATCATTATAGAAACTTGTAATATAACGCATAATCATTTCTCGTTTCAACACGTTCGTACATTGAAATGTTTATTTTTGAATGGACTGTAAAAATATTACGGAAAATAACAAAGTATCGCGAGTTTTCCAAAATTACAGTGGCGCAATGCGTACCATACACTACATATCGCCGCAGGCTTGTAACGTGTTTTAATAAAATATATAGCAGAATATATTCAAAAACATGGTTCGCGGTCCAGCGCATATTTAACAAAGCGGACCAAATAACAAAAAATAATTTGTTATGTAGTCGTAAACGATTTAGTTGAAAAGAATATAGTAATGGAAAATCTGGCCAGTGTTAGTTATATATTTTTTAACTGAATTCCACTCAGTTAATTTTTGTTGATTCATACTATTTGTAACCATAATCATACAACTTAGAAAACTGTAGATAGATTTTTCACAAGTCTGATACTATCAAAAATGGTCCAAAAATAGTAACCAAAAATGTCATTGTCATAAATCTCGAAATTATAATTTTTTTATTTAGTCTTCACACACCAGCATTTTTTTGTTTAACTGATGTGGACTGTCATAAAACTGGTTACAATTTGAGCCGCTAAAAGTCCACCAATGGAAGACAATAGGTTTTAACATGTATATTCAATTTTATACATCATCATTGTAAAATCTAAATGGTTAAAGCAAGCTACATTCATGTTGAAAATTAAAAATGCTGTTAGGTATCAAGAATGTAGCTTATATGAAAAGTACAAACTATGAAAAATGTAAATATGTAAACAAAACTTACTTTTCATGTCTTCTTCAGCTGCATTCTGATCTGTGGCTGTAATAAATCAATCAAGTAAATAACACAATCAGGGTTTATATAATTTAACTTACCAAATCCATATAACTGTCTTCCATCATATGAGTGATCAGATTGTAAAGGATCCTCCAGAGGATCTTCAAAAGTAACTAATTCACTCGGCTCACATTTAACATCTGATATTAGTACAGTATCATTTTGTCTAACAGGATCTTCATCTTGCTTCAGGATTTTATACTGTGGTCCCTCCACTTCTTTCGTTCTCACTCTTTTTACAGCTTTAGATGTGGCTAACCAAAAATAAATCACTCACTGAAAATGAAACGTGCGCAATATACTCACAAGTAGTAGGTTCGACAAACGTCTCTTCTATTCCCAAATTTGAAACTGTACTATCTGAATGTTCTACACCACTGGGTTCAACTTTTGAATCACTTGGATCATCAGTAAGACCACTTATTTGCAACAATTGTGCTATTTTTAAAAACGAATCCAACTTTGCTGTGTCCACACTGACTTCCCCATTGTAAATAAAACGCAGAATATCTGACAGTATACTGTACTCAACTCCATATAAAATAATAACTGGATGTTGACAAGGCACTTCTTTGAAAGTGTCCCGAAAGTAACCACTACAAGCCGAGAGCAACATTTTATGCGCCCCGATTTTTTTACCTTCACAACACAACGTCACATCAGTCAATTCATTCGAATTGAGTAAATGGTCAAAAGCCTTGCGGACGTGGCTCATGTGGTTTTTCCAATTTACGGAATATTCTTTATTACCGTCAGTATTCATTTTCGAGGCGACGTTCGTCAGTGAGTCGACTGGAATGGCTTTTTTTCAATAAATTCAACGAATAACTGCTTCGTAAACAATCGGTTACTAACTGAACAGGTTCCTGGCAGAGAGGTCAAGTCAACTGAGTTCAAAAGGTCAACCGGTTACGTCATGTAGCAGAGTTCGTGATTCTCCTCATCTGCATAATATAAAACATTATTTAAATGTTAATCTCACAATGTTTGCTGGTTTTAAATAATGTGTGTGTACCACTAAATTAACAATAAACACGTTAATAAAACAATACACTCACCTACCGCCAACAAAAAATTAATCACACCGAAACCGAAAGACGTTGCATTACTGGTTGTATACACTAGAGATCTTTCAGCTGTTTTAATTATTAATTTGGATCGAAAAATAACGACATCGATCCGTAATCACGAAAATATTCTTATTTATTATTAGTGTTAATAATTATTAAAATGATGCATAATTAATAACGTATTTTAAAGTGACAGAAATGACACTAAAATTTTTAAGTGTACCAACATATCTAGACAAAAGCACCAATCTTGATTAATTATAAGTAAATGTCAACAAAATGTCAAAAAAGTAAACAATTTTCGGACTTTACTTCAGAAAAAAATATAGCAAATGATTGTAATGCGCATTAAATTAATAACGTAGTGCACCTAGGAACACAGTTTCAAGAATCACATCATGTTCTCAGTTAGATGATAAAGAAATAGGTCATGGAATGTCTAAATGAATTGTTAATGCATGCCATCCTTCAAAATGATACGAAGTGTCTCAAATGCTATTTAAAAAGAGGTAAACTATTAAATTTACTCAAAATGTTACTTAATTTCCCGTCACAGGTGTCAACATCAATAAAATATGTTCAACAGGCATGACCCTTTTAGGGGTAGCAGCTCAGACTGGGAATCTCTCGATAGTAAAAATGTTGATCGACTATTCTAACTGTTCTAGTATTGATTTCACGATAAAGAGTGACGCGAGCACGAAGCCAAATTTATTGCATTTAGATCTACATAGCACGGAGAGAAAATACAAAAATATTGGTTATTTTGTTGTTAGAAAGGACATTGATGAACCTGATTTTGGGGAAGGTCCTACTCCTGAAGGAATGGAAGGTCTTGAGTGGGACATGGAGGTAAATAATGAACCACCACCTGAACCAGAGAAAGAACCATCAGAAATGAACATCTACCAGTGGTATGCCAGCATATTGAATCGAAGTTCTTTAGTTTTGAAGTCTCCAGATAATGATATTGCTAGACTTGACAGTCACGGTAAGAACGTTCTTCACTATGCTGTGAGGTCAGGCAATATGGAATTAGTTCGCTATTTGGTTGAAACCTTCAACGAAATCAGTGTCAATCAAAGTGATGCAGCGTCAGTAAGCCCCCTACACATAGCAGCGTCCAAATGTCACCTTCCTCTAGTACGTTACCTCGTTGATAAAGGTGCTAATGTCAATTGTACTTGTCGTGAACGTAGGACTCCTCTACATGTAGCAGCCCAACATGGATATGTCGAGATTATGCAAGTGTTGATCGAGAATGAAGCAGACATCAATGTTTTTGATATGAAAGAACGGTCGCCTTTATCATTGGCAGTTTTAGGATCAAGGGAGACGGCAGTACAGTTGTTGATTAAAAATGGAGCGAGATTGAATCAAGAGGACGCTGCAGGATTTACTCCTTTACGGAGAGCAGTTTGGAATGACTGCACTTCTATTGCTATGATGCTGTTAAATGCTGGGGCTAGAGTTGTCCAGTCCCATTATTTGCTACATGCTGCTGCCAGGAGTAATAATGCTGAAATGGTCAGAGCTCTACATGAATCTGGAGCCCTTTTAAATATCAGGGATGATCAGGGAAATACGCCTTTAATGGTGGCATGTTCAAGAAAAAACCTAACAGTAGTAAAGTATTTACTAAAACATGGTAAGTTAAAAAAATGTTATTCTGCTACTTCAAAACTACTACCTGCATAGACAACAAACAAATAATCTTTTTTTTTTTGTTTGGTTTGTAGGTGCTAACGTCAACGCAGTGAACAACATAAACGGCATGACTGCCTTACACATTTGCGTTCAAGATATCAGGGAAAAACGAAGCTTGGAGCAATTAATCGACTTACTAGTGTCTTATGATGCTGATATGAATGCAACAAGCTACCAAGGAAGTGTTCTGTTTTATTCAATTATTTTAGAAAATCTTCATGGAGCGAATGCGTTGGTGCGTCATGGTGTGGATGTAAACATGCGAGACGAAAGAGCTTATTTTGACAATTTGAGCTTGGCAAAACGACACGGAAATCTTGATTTAGTTAAGTTGATAGTTTACGCGGGGTTTCACTTATCTAACTTAGCTTTTGACTTAAATTCTCTTAAAAATCAACCAGACGATCACGTACACGATTTCTTAGTTTATGTTAAAAGCACGCCTTTACAATTAAAAGAAATTTGTAGAATTAAAATAAGGAAATGTTTGAATAAACACATTATGGGTAAAATTGGCAAACTTCCGTTACCTGTTTGGTTGCAAAGATATTTAGCTTTAGAAATCATTTGAAAGCTTAATGATCTGTTACATTTATAAAGAAATGATCTCTTATGTATTATTATAGCCAGTATTAAGTGACTAATGTATGGTTAAATATGAATCGTTTTAACTTAATGGGCTTAAGTATTTCAGTATGAGTAGATGTTTAAAAAAGAGGACCATTGATGTGTAGAGATACGATTATTGTAAAAACAAAAAAAGAATAGTGCCCTTGAATAGTGAAGCCTAAATCTGGCCCTCTTAATCTAGGGTAGGTAGGTTTAAAGGTCGGTACAAATACATCAAAACAAATAAAGCAATTTTATAGCACCCATTACGAAAAATAATTTAAAATTGTATTTGTTGCCCATCTAAACATTTGTCTCAATTTTTAAACTGCCTTTACACCCATACGATTTGTAGCATTCCCTCCCTTGTTTTATTCATATAGAGTATCTAGTCAATTTAAAGGATAGATATTATTATTGGAAACAAGACACATAATGTATGTTTTATTTTTTGTGATATTTTAATGTTTTAAATAAAATAAATTTTTATAAAACGTGTTCTTGTTTTAGGGAAAACGTAGGAAAGGAAATCTGAATTACACACCTAAAAATTCTGGCCTACCATTATTGCGTGTGTCAGTGCAGCCTTTAATAATCTCAATAGTATACTTATTACCCTTTACACTAAACATTAAGATAGGTAAAAAATTATGTTACTTGAATCCACACAAATTTAAAAAACCCATATTGTCTAAGTAAGTAACATGAGCAGCTCAGCACTTTGAACATATTCAACCGGTCGTTTCTTATGGTTATCCACTTCATCCTTCAAACTGGGCTCAATCTTCATCAAATATTTACAAACATCGACATGCTTATTGGCTGCCGCTCTATGCAGAGCCGTTTTGCCATCACTGTCTTTCACAAGACAATTCGCCCGTCTTTCTATTAACAACTTGACAACGTCCAATTTTCCTAAAAAACAAAAATTGCAAATCTGAACATTCCGCGTTCGCAAAAATTACCTACAGTGGCGGCTCGATGCAGTGACGTTGCCTTGCCCTGTGCAGTGGCAGCGTCCACGCATGCGCCTCTGTCCAGTAGTAGCTTGCAAATATTCAAATGGCCGTTTCGGGCGGCATAGTGAAGGGCGGTGTATCCAGCTGCATCCCTCTGATCTACTCGGAAACCTGTTTCTAATAAGTGGAGGGATCTTTCCATGTCACCATACTGAGCTGCAAACCATAGTCCGCGTTCGAATTCTAGTTCATCTAATGACTGTGATACTGAGTTTGGTCCTGAATGTCCGCATTCGCACATTGCGCAGATCTGTAACAAGTTCAAAAATAAATTTATCTACATGTCAGTGTCAAGTGAATGAGTTTTACGGCGATTACTTTGGTCAGGAATATTTATAGAGGTTTAGTAAGCGTAAACACTTTTTGTGATGGGTATTTTATGGATCGTTAAAAGTTGTTTGATTCAAAAATTAGACACGGAATTAAGAATGGGAAACACGCACTGTACAAGCGTAGTTTTTGTAAGAAATGTATGAATGGTTAAATAATACAAAATGGCATTGGCGGCTTACAATTTTATTTTGAGAATTGCCTCGTTTTCGAGAAAGTAACTTGGCATTTTACTATAAACTTCGTCACGAACATAATGAAAATAATGAAACTATAATGAAATAGATATTTCAAGAAATTATACACTATAATTTTCGGAAAGTATGTACTTCCGGGTGATTACAGAATATCCTTGATATAAAAAACCTAGCTACTGATTTTATAGAAAATTACAATTTATTAAAGAAGTTCCATATTCATTAAATAAACTACTCTTATTTGTCACAAAATAAAATTTTACATGAGTACAGAAGGAACCTTTGTAAAAGCAACAAGAAACTGAAGTGAAAACAAGATAAGTTATACAAGTCCGGAGTAGTTTACTATGAAATTGTACTAGGACCACATGTTTAAATAGAATTTATAAAAAGTGTGTTGTTGAAAACATAAAGAAATTTAAGGTTTGTATTTTTTTAACGCTGGCGTATGGCCAGATTACAAGGGCAAATAAGCAATTTTGGCGAAATTTCAAAAAAATACGACGACGATACCGCAATCTCAAGTGAAGATAGAGCGATAGAAGATAAAAAAGTTGAGAATAAAATTATTGACGACTATGGTAGAATTAGAACAACACTTTGGAAGGCCAGATTTTATCACAAAAAGCAATCGATTACCTTTTTTAATTCGCGTTCACAGCGAATTCAAGATTCGGAAACGAAGATAAACGCATAAGATAACCATCGAACCACATTTCCGAATGTTTGTTAAACTGGCAGATTTGTTTTCCCGGGGTGCTGAAGACTCCGAATCGATGGAAAACAGTGGTATTTTGTTTTTATTAAATGCAACATGATTAAATTTGTGCCTTTTACGTTAACGTAGGTGACTGAGGTGACAATTGAAAACAATTTAAAGACTTTTCACTGTATTGTTAGAATTTGATTAGCAAGTTTACTATTTATCCACACAAAGACAATTGAAGTACGTCCCAATGACAGTACATAAGTGATAAAATATCATTATTAATTAAGCTGAAGTTTTATAAGAATGTTTTATGAAGCATATTTTATAGTCACCTGTATCGAATTTGTATTATTGTATCGGAAACATTTTTTTTTAAACAAAAGTTACGTATATCTCCTATGAAATGCTACTGTAGATTATTCATCGTGTTTATATTGTTTATTTCCACGATGGATATTAGAAAATGATTGCTGCATCGGTTGTGACAACCTACATTCAACCCACTCTGTTAGTTTATAGAACAAATGCACACTTAGTAGTTCTTTTAGAAATATTCAAAGCTTTAATATTAGTTATTTAAGTTTCAAGGGCGATGGATGTGTATTATCGGTTATTATAATTTCTTCATGATCAACACAATAATAAAGTAAATCAGATTAATTAAAATACAGGGTGATTAAAAAATCCCTGCATCAAACTTCTGACAATATTGAATGTCAAACTTGAAGAATCAACTTCGTAATTCTGATTTGTTTTAATGAATTGCATATTCTAATAGACAGGTAAACAATTAAGTTATTAATAATTTAATAATAATTTTGCTAGAATACGAATGATAAAGTCATTTTTTTACTGCTGACAGATGTCACTTTGACAATTTTTATCGGAGTTCTAGATTTTTTAACCATTTTTTCGAGTTTTGCAGAGCCGTCTTAACAATGTACCATCGAGCAAATACGTCATTTTTTCATCACCCTGTATAAACTGCATGTAAATTTAGCTGTTGTGGATATAACCCGACGATATAGTAGGAAAAAGTATCTAATTATTATCTAGATATCACAAGGAAAATGTGTGGAGCAACGTAATCAAAAATATCATTTAAGGTCAATGTTTTAGATTTAAAACACCATAGTATATGGACATCGACTGCAGTATTTGAAGTACATGCTAGGAATTCGTGAGGAGTAAAATGAAGTTAGCTAACTAAATTTTGAATCGATTCCTGACTCACCACATGTCAATGCACTTAAATAAATGCACGAACAAATTTGAATTGAAAATGAAATTAGCACACTAACAGTCTGTCGAAAGAAAATGTTCCCATTACCAACAACGTTAAAACTAAAACGACTTTATCTTTTATCACTTTTCTCGCAAATTTACATATTTATCCATTTCATTTTCAAGGTTTTTTACTATCGTCCTGGCGCTTTTTGTGCGCCTTATTACTCTTAACAACCAGACTTGACTGTCAACATTACTTATAACGTCTCGAGAAACAATGTGGGTAAACGTTTAAAAGATCGATCGCACAAATCGGTTATTTACTCAGTACGTAAGAAAAGTAAGCTATTATATGACGATGAACCAGAGTCAAGAAACGACATCACGTGTCACGTACAATTTTTTTCAGAAGCAGTAAATTTGTACAATTTATAAAAGAATTTAAAAATATACATACAATATTTATCTGGGTTTGTACCAGTTAAATTTAAAGTAGGTAGATTTTTTGTGTTTGCAAATTATATCCCAAAAATATAAACTGAATTTAAATCAGGAGTCTTCCTCCTCTTAATGACTAAAATGATATAGAATCTGTATGTAACTATAAATCATTATTTATCGCATTTCAAAAAAAAAAAAAAAATGTGAGTTTAATCTAACAAAAAAGTTACTAAAGAAGTTTTTAACAATTCACTTATTCAATGCTTTAACACAAAGTATGTATGCCGACCTACCAAGGTCGGCAATACGATAACAGGGTCCAATATATACACTTCAAAATAACCTCAGTAGATTTGGCAAGAAATTTTAGAAAAATCGTTATCACACAATGCAATAAATGTGTTTGTCACGGAAATTGCAGTTCGACAACCTAATGGATTACACTCACCTTAGATAATAAATAAAAAAAACATGAAAGTTTACATAGCACTGAGATATGTCTAAGTTTTATGGCAGGTATAAAAGGGTTTCATTAAGTCTGCACACGCAATCCTGTTCTAAACTTATTATTAAATATCACGTTGCATAGTCCAAAGGGTTTCTGAATCGCCTGTGGTCCCAATAACACGGTATCCCAACTGCCCTAGAGCATTCACTACTTGGATAGGGGTGGCCTTCAGCACAATCCCATTGATAACGTCACTTTTATAGTTATTAAAGTGTTTCACAAGAGCAACAGTCTCAGCTTCATTCAGTCCAAAGACAGCACTCTCAGCCGCATGTATCGAAGCTTTCACAGCCACATAGGCATAGGTTCCCGACGACATGAGTAAGCTTGCTGGTGTCTCCATATCACTGGTCACAACTAACTATAAATCTAATCTCAAAGATTCGACACTGAATTTATTACTTAATCCTCTTTCAATTCAGCGGCGCCGGATACGTCACAAACAGGGGGTTTCTGGCACGGAAAAGGCCTTGCGCATTGTCCACGTGTATTTACTGCCCTGTTCGACCGACGTTGAAGACGAAACCACCATTTTACACCCCAAAACTTCTAACCTCTAAAGCAGTGAGGCCAACGTAAGATCCTGTATGCAAATATAGGTGCAATCGTTGCAATAGTCCTACATACGAAATACATGCGGCTTAGAATTTGTTTTGCTGGAAAATTGTGTTCATGGGGCATACCCACTTCCTTTTCGTTGAAAACGTTTGGTTTTTCACTATTTAACACTTTGTGGTTAACCAAACGATTAATGTGAATTATTTTTCCCAAATTAATTAAAAACTAATATAAAAATTGGTCTAAAGTTATTTTGATAGAACTTCCCTCACCCCTGGAGCGTTGTTCCACAAATCCCGGTTCTTGAAAAAAATTATAAAATTTGATTTTGTGATTTTAGTTTTGTGTTAACTATACACACGATACGGATGTGTCTACTTTTCTGGCACATCGAAAATTTGATATCTATATTGCGCTTATATCTCGAAAGAATTCGACTATTAGCGCGTTCAGATTACAAGCATCAGCGGTTAAAAGAAAATGAAATTTGACTGATTTTGTTTCCTCAACGCAGCAGAGAGGATTAATTAACTACACACAGTTTTTCTTCCCGAAAACACTTATAAATTTGAAGAACATTTTTTCGAATTATAAGAGGACGTCATCATTTTTTGAGGCCATAAATGAATAAATTTTGATGCTTCCTAAAACCTTAAAAACGTTTCCAAGATTTTAAAGCATTTCAAAATTAAATTGTAAAATATAATTTTGAATTTTTCTAGGCAGACAGAAACGAAAGACTTATAGTGAACCAAGAGTTATAAGGTTATATGGCCATCATAAAATCATCCCATTGTGTCGAAGTTAAGTTGTTTACAATAGAAAAGGTTTTAGGGTCGTAAATAACGTGTCCACTGCAGTTCGACCGGCTCTTGTGGTTTCGTTCAGGGGCGGCTTTCACTAAATATGAAAATCCACCACTCCACTATTTCTTTACTACCTGCAGCCGCTGAGGGTTCCGAAATAACCACTCGCTTTGAAAGCCGGCCCTGTTAAATATGAGCAAGAAATGTTTAGAAGATAATTTATTGGCAACCGGTAAGCTTAGTGCGAACCACACAAAGGGGGTATTTATTTGCGGTCAACTACTTTTATGATGGCCATATAACCTTATAGGTCTTGGTTCACTATACTTTTTCGTACTCTAGGGGTCATGAAACGTCAAGAAAACGTAAAAATAGCCATTCGTCCGATGGAGTCCATAATATTTTCTTAGCTGACGCCCAGGAAGCAAAAATGGGCTTGAAAATTTGTATTTGGGTTTAAATTGTAAATAAAAATACAAAATTAATAATAAAAAATTAATAATAGCAAAAGGCGGAGCGAAAACCTTAGTTCTCTCAGTAACCTCGCAAATTGAAAACACACCAGATGTTAACTTGACTGTTACTTAAAAAGATTCACCATTTTATTTGTAAAACAATGAATGTCGTGACCGGAAATTGCAATTTTATTGTATATTTTTTGTACTAATTTTATATACATATTTAGTAAAAAGGTTGAGGTCGAACTCCACATTTATAAATGTCCAATTAATTTCAGAGATATCCGATCCATAAACAATTTTATATATTTAGATTTCTTTACGTCAATTAACAGTACAAAGTTTCAAAATTTTGTTTTCTAAAATAACTAATATAATGAAACGAGTAAACCGGACGAAGAATTTTAAAATTGTTTAAAGCATTTTATCCAACAAATTCCGATGAAATGCACCACTGAAAAAATTGGGCAAAAGTTATTTCAAGAGAACTTCCCTCTCCCCTAATATACCGTAAAAACGATATACAAGAGATAAAAAAGAGCCATATTATTATAATCTGTGACTTTTTGTTTTTTAATTTGGATGCCTAGGGGAAAACTAAAAGCGGATTAAAACACAAGTGTAGGAGTATATTACTGCATAACACTGAGACAATTTTAATAAAGGAAGTTTTGAGATGTCTTCAAATTGTTGGTGGGGATGATTACTTAAATTCTGGTTAGCGTTTTACCATCTACATAATATTCCTAATATACACACAAAATTTGACAACAAAGCCGGTCCAGTAGTTTCGGCGATTATCTGTCAATAAAAATCGACACGAACGACGAACAGACAGACGGAAACGGTAGACTACTTTTTTCTTACTTTAGGATCATGAAACGTTGAGAACATGAAAGTAGCCAGTCGAAAATGTGGAAAACATGTCTTTATAATAACAATGATAAAATAAGAATTATAATATTCAGAATATTTTGTTCGATTGTGGTTTAATTAATAATTTTAGTCCTGCGTTTTTAGGAAACAAACTCATTCAAATCAAACTAGTTTCTACGTGACATTCTTTCGATGTATAGACATAAATAAACATTTGAGCTTCAGACTGCTATTACCTAGTGCTGAAGGACATTTTATCACCTTAGTTATGTGTTTTAAATATATTCTACATTGTCCATGCGGCGGAAAGGCTGCGGGGGTGTTATTTATGCCGCTGGTTTTTACTTTATTACTTTTACTTTAATTAAATTTTATAATTGTTTTAAAGAGTTGGATTTGTCGGATTATACTTATAGCTTTCGACCAATTTTTTATTGATCAAATTAAGAACCATTTGTAGAAAATATGAGAACAGCCCCGTATTTATTTAATTATGATCAAATAAGAATAATAATTTTAGTCCTCTGTTTTAAGGAAGCAACTCATTCTAATTAAAGAAATTTTTACGTGACATTCTTCCGATGTATAAACATAAATAATCGAAGTTAAGCATGCACACTGATAATAATACACTCTTTTCCGTTGTTTATTTGGTTTAAATATATTTCATATGTCCGTATGTCTGCGAACGGTATCTCCTTGGAATTTGCGCCCTAGCGGCGCAGGTGGTTCGAGGTGTCATTTACATCACTGGTTTTTAATATAAGTATAGAGGTTGTCAGAAAACATTTTTTTTTTTAAAAAGCGAAATTTATTGGACTGTACTTCAAGAGTAAAGTACTTCTGTCGAGGTAATCTTTGACCAATTTTTAATAAATAATATGTACGGTTGTGAACAGTGAATTTCGTCCACCCAATTTCTTTGATAGAAAAAAACTCTAAATTAGCCCTTAGATCTTTCTAACCTTTTTTTGTCATTTCGACATAAAGGGGCAAACATTTTTTTATACGATAACTAACACTAGACCGCGATAAGCCCAAAAGTGTAGCGACATCCCGTCTTGGAAAAGGGATATTAGTTTACCTTCATTAAAATAACTAATCGATGGCAGGTTCGAAGCTAAATTAAATTTGGCAATACTTACGTCAGTCATCATGACAATAAAGCACCGACTACAGTGAATTTTTGTGAATTCGCGTGAATTGTGTGGACGAAATTCACTGTCCGCGACTGTACTACTGTAAAAAATTATTCCTAATTCTTAATTCTAAATATACACCGCCGTTTTTATTCGAACCTTTTTCCATTTACTGTTTAAAAGGTGAATCAATGCCATCGCATCGAATTTCTTTTTTCTATATTTCCACATTACTACAGTGATTACAATTATTGCATGTACTTCGAAATCACCCTGTATTGTTAGAAACTTACGTGAATATACAAATATATTCACAGGCGTGTTCTAGAACTTAATTTTTTAATATCTCCTGAGACTACCTTTTAAAAAAATATCTCTACTTAGTGAGACGAAAATAACAGAACAGGACTTACTGGAGCGAAAAGATGAACGTATGAACTATATTTCCAGAAAGTTTCAAATTTGTATTTTTTCCTCGACATACCGATTTCAGAGGGTAAATTAGACTATTTCTGAAAGTTTGCACATTTCAGACATTTTTTCCTCCAGGAAAATATTAGTCCTGGAACTTAAAACTTCCGTTACATTTTCTATTGTACGAGTATTAAATGCCTAAAAAATGAACTGTTTCAGATCAATAGTGTTGGCACAGGAGCCAGTTGAAAATCACCAAAATCAGGAAATTATAACGAAGATTCAGTAGCCCACCATGCATTAATGACTTGTCCAGATAGGGTAGTCACATTATTGTTATTATTATTATTATTGAAAGCACATTTCTTAGGCAGTAAAATAAAGTTATAATCATTTCAGCACGTGTCATACAAAAAATTTGTCATCTAAAAAAATAAGTGACGCAGGTTTTTCACATTGGCTACCATTGGCAACGACCCAGAAACGGTCAACTTGACCTCCGCTGGCCTGCTGCAGAAGGGTCAATTCATATTTATTAAACTCATTACTTGAATTTGGTTTGTATTTAATATTTTAACCCCGATAGTATCCGTATTCCAAACGTCTGCGATACGCCACTGGAGTGTGAATTGTCATATCCGGATTCTATTTGGAAAACGAGCCTTCTCCAACTGTTCCAAATAAGAATATATTACTACTTGGCAAAAATGTATGTACCAATGTCAAAAATATTACTATTAGGGGTATGTACAATCGGTGGACATATAAAACTGGTACAAATTGTCATAAAAATTATAAGGAAAATAAAAAAATTATCTTGTGTAAATCTGTCTTTTTCACGTTTATGTTATGCTATGACAGATGGATAACGCATATTTGACCGGCAACGGTCCCGGGAATCAAACTTGATACACATTAGGAAATTTTTCTTTGTACCATCAGTTTTATATGTCTACCGATTGTACCTACTTGTTTGAACTCCATCACAAATTTGTAAGAATAAGTAAGGCACCATCAGGTATTATTTAACCGTTTCAGAAAAAAATTTGAATCTAATCCAATCACAGTAGCTTTTTTTACCTTTTTACCTGTATACCTAGGCAATCATGTAACAACACCCAGTGTATGTACTTTATTCACCTATATACCAAAGTAATGTGATAACAATGTATATATATGTTACAGTTAAAGTGAATACTCGGCTAGTTTCCAAACTAACTGGTTGTTATGCAAACTAACCAAGTCGCTAGTTATTATAGACGAAAAACTATTTTCTCTTACATTAGCAGGGTTTCTTGGTTAATTTTTAAACTGCCCAGCTAGTTTATAAACTACCGTACAAGTTTGGATAATTTAAATACTTTTTTTAAAGTACATAAATTAACCGAAATAATTGGTTAGTTTACAAACCAGCCACTTTGTTCTGGTTAAAATAAGAACTTTTTCTCTAGTACGATAAAATAACCAATGAATTGTATCATTGCCTGCATTGAACACTAAAACAACTGTCTGTTTGCATACTAACTGCCTAAAATATGATACAATTCGTTAGTTATTTTATCGTACTAGAGAAAAAGTTCTTATTTTAACCAGAACAAAGTGGCTGGTTTGTAAACTAACCAATTATTTCGGTTAATTTATGTACTTTAAAAAAAGTATGTAAATTATCCAAACTTGTACGGTAGTTTATAAACTAGCTGGGCAGTTTACAAATTAACCAAGAAACCCTGCTAATGTAAGAGAAAATAGTTTTTCGTCTATAATAACTAGCGACTTGGTTAGTTTGCATAACAACCGGATAGTTTGGAAACTAGCCGAGTATTCACTTTAACCGTAACATATACATTTCAAATGAACCTTATCGTCGATTTGGCAGGAAATTTTAGAAAAATCATAACCACACAACGCAATAAATGTTTGTCACGAAAATTACGATTAGACAAAATACTGGGTTACACTCACCTTAGATAATAAATTAAAAAATATGAAAGTTTACATAGCACTGAGATATGCCACGGTTTTATAGCAGATATAAAAGAGTTTCATTAAGTCTGCACACGCAATCCTGTTGTAAACTCATTATTAAATATCACGTTGCATAGTCCAAACGATTTCTGCCTCGCCTGTGGTCCCAACAACACGATATCCCAACTGCCCTAAAGCATTCACAACTTGCATAGGAGCCGCCTTCAGCAGAATCCCATTGATAACGTCCTTCTTGTAGTTATCAAAACGTTTCACAAGGGCAACAGTTTCAGCTTCGTTTAACCCAAAGACAGCACTATCAGCAGCATGTATCGAAGCTTTCACAGCCACATAGGCGTAGGTTCCGGACGACATTAGTAAGCTTGCTGGTATCTCCATATCACAAGTCACGACTGACTATAAATCTAATCTAAAAGATTTGACACTGTGTACTTATGACTTATTAATCTTCTTTGAGTTCAGCGGCGGCGGACACGTCACCAACAGGGGGCTCTGGCTCGGAAAAATCCTTGCGCATTGTCCACATGTACTCGTTGTAGTCTTGTTTGACCGACGTAGAGGACGAAGCCACCACTTTGTACCCCAAAACCTCTAAAGCCGTGAGGATAACACACGGGTGTTGCATGTAAACAATGGTGCAATCGTCGCAGTAGCCCCCAGAAGCGAAGCGGTTTAATTGTTCGATGTCTGCGGCTTTGAGGCCTGAAACGAGCACTCGCCAAGGGTAACGTTGTCCGTAGGCCGCCAAATTGCCGCGCACCAAGATATAGGGCATTGGGGCACGCCTCCTTTTACGATAACGGATAACGCTTGATTACTGATAATATGACGCACTTTGGGGCGCCGATAACATGGTTTGTCGATATGTTGCACGCTTATCACATTGTTCGAAAGCCGGAAGCTTCCGGACGGAACTGGGGGCGATAGTCAAGAAAACAACTCAAACGTGTACAACATACCTTCTCGAACTGAAGCGAGAACGGAGTGTGTGCAGGTGCAGAGGCGTGCAGGGTGGGATTTTCATTGGTGCTTTCGTCAAGTGGAATTAACTTCACGTCGTCAAGGTCTGCGTTGGCATTGTTTCAAAATTAGGCTGTTTGATTATGGATGAAGTTGGCCGAAAACTATTAAATTCATTGTTAATTCTGGGAATAAAGGCTTAATTTATTGCATGGGCGCCGACTTTACGGTGTTCTGGGAGTCGGATTCCAACAAAAAATCTAGTGGGAAATTTAGAATGTCTTCTGTTATCTGTTGTTCTGTTAACAATGTTAGAAAAATTAATGCTATAATGCTATATACACAGTATGTACAGCAACAGTTGGCAAACAATTCCTTTTTGCACTTTTTTTGGTACTATGGGACATGGAATTCTGGGCAGTCTGTTCTTGTCAATGTAAATGCACCTTTAGCGTCAATATGATTGATATTTTCGAAAAAACTGTCAAATTAACTTTGAAATGTATCAGTTGGTTCTACGTACATGCCAGCTGTATCAATTTTTAACAAATCTCGAGCAGTAGCTGCATGTTAATATAATTGAAACAGATTTAACAAAACTTCAACTTTGTCAGTGTCAAAATGAGAAATACGCCAGACAGTAAAAGCGTGGTTATGAATAGCTAAGGCCTGGTTTAGAAATTTTGACAATTGTGTGACACCTCTGCCCAGTTTTCAGTGCCCCCAATGGTAATGTGTTTCAGTAATGACCATTTTTTGGAGAAATCCTTGTTCGTGTTTGTCAATTGTCATTTACGTTGCAAAAATTTGGTGAAAAAAGTTCAAACTGTATTTTAACCGTGGTACATACACACGTTCTATGAAACAAATTCACGTTAAGTACTACACTATTGAAAAAATAAAAAAGTGGGTATTCTATTTGACGTATCTATAAAACGTGGCACATTGTAATAGTTGAAAAAAGAAGTTCAGTCATTTTCGGAAAAACTGGTACATAACATCAAAGATTCATTTTATATTTTTCTACATCCTTCCAACTTTCAAATAGGTACCTATTTATCTTTTCGAATAAGGGAGATATTAAAAGGGCATGTGTAAATTGAGACGCTGCTACTTAAACTACTTAAAAATACTCCATTCTATTCGAAAAGAAAACGTTGACGTTATTTCCGAAAATAGTAGGTAAAGGTGATATATATAAAGTTTTAACTTGAAAATGTAATCAATTTGAATTTCTAAGGAAGTGTTTGGTTCCCACTGCGTTATTACAGATGTTTCATTATTTATTAAAACTTTGGAACACGAAAAGTTTCCAAGTGAGTTATTGCACGATAGCAAAAGATAAAAGGGATACGTAATTTTCTTATATTTTTCCCATAAAATCCGAAGATCTTAGGTGTGTTAAAAGTAGAAATCCCTGTATTGTCCGTTTATAACAGCACTATACTTTTTCTATTGTTAATTAATAAGTTAATTCTTCGCAAACATCACCGAACCACATACTTACGAAATATTATCAAGGTATACGTCACACAGATTACCACAAATCGACTTATTTTAATTTAAATAATTCCGTGGAACAGCCATCTATAAATACGAGTTTCTCGAATGTAATTGGATTAAAAGCAATAAATAATAGTTTAAAAAACTAAAAAAACACGCTTTTATTGCTAATCGAACTAAAAACTAGAAAATAATTTTTAATGACAGAGTTTAATATTACAGTAGTAGAAGATCAAACAATCAATCATAATAAATCACCTCAAATTAAAATTATAATAAAATTTAAGTTATTAACAGAATAATTCAATTCAGAGTAAAAAGCGTGGGGTGCTTGATATTTTAAATATTACAATCATTCTATTGGCAACTATCTATGAGAGGATAGTTATGAACCGCAGTAAAATGCACCCCACGCTTTTTACTCTGAATTGAATTATTCTGTTAATAACTTAAATTTTATTATAATTTTAATTTGAGGTGATTTATTATGATTGATTGTTTGATCTTCTACTACTGTAATATTAAACTCTGTCATTAAAAATTATTTTCTAGTTTTTAGTTCGATTAGCAATAAAAGCGTGTTTTTTTAGTTTTTTAAACTATTATTTATTTTTCATTTTTTAGTCTGCGACAAATTCATAAATTGGGGAATTAATTACTTATTTAGATTTTTCTAGAAAGAACCACTCAGTGGTCTCCGTATGATCGATCAACGGGAATTAGTTCGAAATCAATCGCCCTCACGGACCAACGGGACACAATTCATCATTGTGGTTAGTTTTACCCCCCAAATAGTTAATTTTCCTCCATGTTTGTATTTCTGTTTGTATATAGCTTTATCTCTTTTACTCCACTACACAGGATCCATAAAAGAATTTATAAATCCTGGCGGTCCTAATAAGGATAATGGGAAACTGTTTTCAAATTATTGCATTGTCATCGATCCTTGAGACGTGTGCAAAGTTTCAAGATGATCAGACTTTTAGAAACCGATGAAAATTAAGCTCAAAGATTCCGTTACATACATACATAGATACAACCCAAGCTAATAAAAGCGTGATAAAAAGAGGCGTGTCTTACGTGTTGTGACTGAAAAATATTCATATAGTATATGACTTCTTGTGGTATTTAACAATATCGCGGTAAACCAAAAAATATCATCAAATACAGTAAAATAATAATAATAATAATTATAATAATGGTTTTAGAGAAAACTATGACTCAAAATTGTGAAGTAGTCAAAAATATTTTTAAAAACAGCGTGAAACAGTGACTAAGGGCCACGTAATTCTGTTAAGTAATTGGTTTACTAACATTTTATTCACATAACAGAAGAGATTACCGGATGATTACAAAAATAGCTATATAAAAATTTAAGGTCACTTGACCTAGTTACTTTTTGTTTAGTGATGAGTGTAGCGAAAATACTTGTTAAAATTAAAAGTACAGTCGCGACCAGTAGGTTCAACACATACTTCCAAATTTAAACAAAATTAATGCTTTGTTTGACAAATCAAACAATTTCGACAAAGTTACTCTCCTGTTTTTCAAATCAAGAACGTACATTCAAACTGCTATTAGGATATTAATAGTTATTTACGTGGCAAGCTTAGTAAATTAGCCTTTACGGGCGAGCCGGAATGTTTGCAGGGCGAGCGACGTAGGAGCGAGCTCTGTAATCCGGTGAGCCCCAGTAAAGGCTAGTTGCAAGCGAGCTGCGTACAACGTTTTACTTCCTCTTGCTGAAAATCCTGAAAATGAACAACTTTGGCATCTCTAGAAATTTTACTTGAAATTACAGTCATAGAAATTGAATTGTTTGAAAATAACGGGACTGTCAATTTGTAAATTCGATTAATAATTTAAATAGTTTAATTTTGTTTCTGAGCTCTGTTAATTGTGGAATTCGATGAAGATGAAGAGTTTGAAGGTGATTTTAACGTTAGTATTAGCACAGTATTAGTGAGATTAAGAAAAAGGCCGACGCAGCGAATGTGTGTTTGATTCCGGTGCTGTCATGATAACGTTTTACAGGCAAGGTGCCTGTAAAGCTGCCACGGTAACGCTTTACAGGCAGGGTGCGTGTAAAGGCTAATTTACCGAGTTAGTTCAGACGACAGTAAACGAGCTTTAACAAGACAAGAGGAAGTAAAAAAAATTACTTCGTTATGTTAAATGCTCCGGTTTTCTATGACCACGACTGTACGTCTAATTTGGTTTGCAATTTCACTAAAGGGAAATTGTTTAAACAAACAAAAAAATGGTCGAAGGCTATTTCAACTGAACTTCCCCCGCCTTTGAAGTATAATCTGACAAATCCAGCTCTTTAAAAAAATTATAAAATTTTATTTTACGATTTTCGTTTTAAAATAACCGCTGTAAAGTAAAAACCAGAGGCATACATAACACACCCGCAATTCCTGCGCCATACGGACAATGTAAAATATATTTAAAGCACTTAACTAACGGGATAAAATGTCCTTCAGCACTAGGTAATAGCAATCTGAAGTTGAAGTGTTTATTTATGGTTATACATCGAAAGAATGTCACGTACAAATTAGTTTGATTTGGATGAGTTTATTTTCTCAAAACACAGGACTAAAATTATTAATTAAACCGCAATCGAACAAAATGTTGTGAATATTACAATACTTATTTTAACATTATTATATAAAGACGTGCGTATTAACACATTTTCGAGAAAATGGAGTGATTCGTTCTTAATTTGACCAATAAAAAATTTGTTATGACGTCATAAACATCGATAATACACAATGCGAGAGAGAGAAAAAAAAAAGAAAAAAAAAAAAACGAATGGCCAAGCTTGGAATCGAATAGGGAAAAAACGGTTAGGGAAAAACACTTATACCTAGAAGTACATTGTTGTATAGCAGTTAAATCAAATAAACATAAAATTCTTTAAAATAACGTCATCAAATTCTTGATGGGGAGGATCAGCAAAACTTTGGTTAGCATTTAACCATCTGCATGATATTTCTAATACAAATAAAAAATTTAACAACAATCGGTCTAGCAGTTTTGGAGATGACGTGTCTAATAAAAATGGATACAAACACCAGACAGACAGACAGACATACAGACAGACGGAAACGGGAGACTACCTTTTCGTGCTGTAGGGGTGGGTCATGAAACGTCGAAAAAATATAAAAATCAGGTGTGTTAACCCAAACATCCCGTCATAATTTGTTATGTGAACAAAATTTTAAACTCGCGAAAAACTCAAAAATTTAGCATTGAATTATGATCGTCAACAAAGTGGAACCCTACGTTGTGTGTTTTTAATGGCGGAATACTATGAAATACAAAGTGGGGAACCATGAGGTTGGAAAAGTGTCCCTAAATCAGACACAAAACATAGAGGACAAAAATCGTTTATCCGGTTTCGCGGTGTTGTTTTTTTTTCTCTCAGCGCGAAATTTTAATTCAAACTGGGACACTACAATGTAAATGTCCGTATAAAAACTTAACTTTTACTTAAATTATTACATTATTCACACTTCTCACTCGATATTTAAAATAGTTCGTTTATGGCATTTAAATTAATCTTAAAAGTTGTCCCATTTTGGGAGAAAAGACCTTGAAAATGTTCATCATTTAAGCTGATATGTATTATCATAGATTCGAAAATGTTGTTTAAAGTTCTTGCTGCAGTGTGGTGTAACGGACATTTGTTTGCTATGTAGTTTCGGTGGTTTAATTAAACATCATCAGAATTTCGGGAGCACAAATTTCAGATTAATACGGTTACCTGTATAAAAGGCATGAATCTGAAACCGGACAGTTTTCTGACTTGTTCTAACTTAACAACTGTCGGGACGTTTGTAACCAACAATTATAGAATGAACAAGTTGAAGTTCATCGGTCAATTGCCACAGTGTCGTGGGGGGAAATTTTAAGACAATTATACAGGCATTTTCTATTCCGTTTCCATTGGAATGAGCAGGTCTTCCGGTCTGGTAGCAAGTGGATGTCGCGGTTAATTATGCAACAGCCCTTGCCCCACGAGGATGAGTATGTGTTGTAACTCGTGAATCTCGCAATACAGAGTAACGCTGAAAACTGAGCAGAGCTCGATCGCCTTGATCAGAACCATCGATTCCGTAACCGTGATCTATAATTGGAGTTCCCATATAGTCTTTGGCTTCCATCACACCACCGTAATAACTTGTGTATTACCATCCACTAACTTTAATGACGATTGTTTTCCGTTGGGTATTTAAATTTGTGGTATCACACAATAGCTGTATCGATTGGTAATATTTGATTTGCCCTCCATATTTTGCATTTTATTTAATGTCAATTTCCGGTTTGCATTTGGACGCATCCCACCATAAAAAAGTGGAGTTCCATTTTGTTAACCACAGTTCAAGATAACAGTTTGAATTTTTCGCGGGTTTTTAAATTTCTTCACGTATCTCATTTTGGCGGCATGTTTGGACCAACACAGTGCTTTTACTGAAATTAGGGAAATCAAACTGTGAAATGTTAAACATGTAACGTCTTAAACACCATATTTCTTAAATTTAAAGTTGAAAATTTTTTTTTTAATAATAACTAAAGGAGAATAAAAACAAAAAAATTAAACAGAAAAATTTGGGTATCCAGGAACTTTAAAAATTTTTCAGATAATAAAATATTTACCACAATTCCAATCTGCACCCTACGATTTCAAAAGAAATAAAAAGTTGGCACGCCACTGGTCGATGAAACTGCTTCACAGTGTAAACAGAGAGCTCTAAATAAACTTACCCGACAGCGCTCTTAGTAGCGGTAAAAACGGTTTCAGAAATAACAACAAGTAATAAAAGCAGTGTTACGATGAAAATAATGATCGTCCCACTTTGTTTAGTCTTAATTTTAAAAGTCAACAAACAATCTTACCGTAACTTTTGAAGCCGCAAAGTAACGACGTGATGATGTTTTTCTCACAAATAGGTAAAATAGGTTTTCCCAGCATCAGCTGCTTTATGTCATCGTCCTGTCAAATGTCAAAATTTCAATGAACGATCGATAACCTCAAAGAATGGAATTTAAAGTTCATAATTAAATCGAAAAAAAAAAGCTGATAACTGCTGCACGTATTAAGAGCTACGAAAAATGCAGAACGTTATTAATAGTGTGAAAGGCACGGCACTCGGTGTCGCTGAATACTTAACTCCGGTTTTGAAGGTAATTGTGCCTGGTCAAAGGGCATGCATGCATTGTCGTAATAGAATAGAACAAACGTAACGCGGTTTTTTTTATTTTTTTTTTGTGAATTTTACAGGAATCCAAATTCAGAGAAACTGGCGTGTTAACACCTGAAGAATTTGTTGCTGCTGGAGACCACTTAGTGCATCATTGTCCAACTTGGCAGTGGGCAGCTGGTGATGAAAGTAAAGCTAAGCCATATTTACCGAAAGATAAACAATTTCTAGTTACTCGAAATGTACCTTGTACAAGAAGATGTGAGCAAATGGAATACTCTGGAGAGTTGGAGAGGATTATTGTGTCAGATGATGCTGATAATGGTTGGGTAGACACACATCACTATGATCAGGATCAAAGTACCGCTGCGGTGGAAGAGAAGATTTCAGAAATGACTTTAAGTGCTTCTAAGGTAGAGGCAAGCGCCATCTGTAATAATGAAATTTCAAATTATGATTGTGTAGGGTGATAGTATGGAAGAAGCGGCTTTAAATGATGAGAAGAATGATGATGGTGAGGACGACGAAGATGATGAGGAGGCAGCGGATATGGAAGCGTTTGAAGAGAGTGGCATGTTAGATGATGAACAGGTTTTTAGTTAAAACGAGTATGCTCTTTTATAAAAATATCTATTATTCAGGCTACTACAGTGATTCAACCCACATCATCTGCAAGTAAAGAAGCTGATGAAGATGGTGAAATTATTCATACACGCACATACGATTTGCACATTACATATGATAAATATTATCAGACACCGAGGCTTTGGCTAACTGGTTACAATGAGGTACTAATTTCCCATCAATTTTTTTTTATTAATATTTGAACTCTTGAAATCTCTATAGCACCACAAACCTCTAACTGTAGAAGAATTGTATCAAGACGTTAGTAAAGATTATGCCATGAAGACTGTCACAATGGAGACTCATCCCCACTTAAGTGTACCAAAAATGGCATCAGTTCATCCATGCAGGTGACACAACTTTAATTGTTAAGTTTTGGATATAATTTTTTTATTCCAGACACGCTGAAGTGATGAAAAGCATTATTGAAACAGTGACTGAGGGTGGGGGTGAGTTAGGGGTCCATATGTATCTTATTATATTTTTGAAATTTATGCAATCTGTTATACCAACAATTGAATATGATTATACTCAGAATTTCACTATGTAATGAGGTTATACTGCTTCACGCCACATTCATAGTCATTATAGCTTATTATTGTTGTGTTTATTTTTAAATACTGAGCGATTTTTTATTCTATTTTTTTATTAAAACGCTTGTGTAATAAATATCTACAATTGTGATTGGCAACGTTAAAAATATGTATCTCTACCAGTCATAAAAATAAATTACACAATTTCTAAAAACAGCCAAATATACCTTATATTACACAGATTTCGTCTAATTATTGTATACCTTTCTCACTAAGGCATATTAAGATATTGGGGATTAATTGAATCTTCAATGTTATAAGTTGTTACTAAGCACATATTTTGATTATCTTCAGCGACAAATTGGATGTTGCCAGGAACTTTTGGATCATCGCTGGGTAAAAAGTGGATATCTGTAGATAATAACTGCCCTTCTAACGGCACATCAATTTTCTAAAAAAATACGTTTATCAAAAGAATAAAAGAAACATGTTTAATGTACCTGCGCCGAATCGTCCACCGAATTCAACAGTGATTTATTCTTATCAGGAACCGTAGTTAAGCTAATTGGTACCAAAGTACCATCAGGTAGCAGCCCCTGAATGTTCTCTTGACCATCTTCAGTACTCGTCACAACTTTAACTTGTTGTCCATCTTGTGTAATAAAACTGATGGGGTTTCCTTCTTGATCAACTAACTGTTGCAATTGTATTGTTTGATGCTCAACATCTTCAGTAACATGAACAAGTGTGTTTGACTCTGAGTCTTGAGGTTCAATATAGGTGACAATAGCATCACCTACATCTTTTTCATAAGTAACAAACAACATCTGTTTATCTAAAAACAAACCCATCACGATTATTTACAATGTATATTTTACGTACCTTTAAAATTTCGATGGATGCGACGATGTTTGGCCAAATTCGAGCTATCAGCAAACGCTTTAGAGCACAAGTCACACTTATACGGTTTTTCTCCCGTATGTACCCTTTCATGCTTCTTCAAAGTCCAAGCTTCTGGGAATGTTTTGGGACAGTGTGGGCATTTGAATGGTCGCTCATCCAAATGCCTCCTCATATGACACCTTAAAGTAACCTTATACAGAAAACTCTTTGGACAATATTCACATCTGTGAGGTCGCTCATCCAGATGTCTTTTCTTGTGTAGCCTGAACTGTGACGACGTTGTGAACGCTCTTCCACAATAATCACATTGGTACGGTTTTTCTCCTGTGTGTATCCGTCTGTGTTCCACCAGATTACCCTTTTGTGAAAAGGACTTTTTACAAAATTCGCACTGATATGGACGATCTCCAGCGTGCCACCTCTGATGCAATGTAAAAGCTGTCTTGTGGGCAAAAGTTTTATCACACTGTGAACACCAGTGGCTGCGTTGTCCTGCGTGTACCGTTCGAGTATGGTGTATGAGATTTGCTCGCGTTTTAAAGGCGGAATTACACTGAGAGCACCGGTGAGGACGCTCATTGGAATGGACGGTTTGGTGCCGCTGGAGGAGCTGCCGGTGCTTAAAGGGTTTATTACACTTGTTACAGACAAATCTGTATAAAAAAAGAAAACGAAAAATGAGTAGATGTCATCCACACCGTATAATAAAAATCTGCACTCAACCTGACTTCATTCAATGAAGTGGGTTGAGCATAGTGATTCATCGATTACCATTACCTGCGGCCATTTGTGTGTTCTGAGTCTTTGTGGTACTGCAGACTGCTGGGATGGCGGAAGGTTTTTGGACATGATGGACACTTGTATTGCGTAGAGAGATCGTCGTTGTCTGTTTTTGAGTAATGCTGTAGAAGATGTACTTTTAAACAATTAGCGTAAGAGAAACGTTTATTACAGATTTCACAAGCGAACGGTCGCTCACCAGCATGGACTGCCTTTAAGTGAACTTCGTAGTTTTGTTTACACGAAAAAGCTTTATTGCACTGTTTACAGACGAATTCTCTTTTCTCGTTTACTATGCTATCGGTTTGATTGTTTTCTTTTTTCTTTGATTGGTTTGGCTGAATTTCTGTTGGCAATTGTAGTGTTCCCTGAAATGCACAATTGTTTAGGTTTTTTTTTAATACGTGTATTAGGTATTCAAGGTTATTGCTGTTTTAGTGCTGATCATTGTAAACTTCGAAAATATAATGCAAAATATTGTGCTATTTAACCATGATTAGTTGTTTAATTTGAAATTTATTTGAATGCCTATTCCAATAGCTTAAAAATGTTTGGAAAAATTATAATAATTTTGCGAATTTTATTTGTTTTTTATAATCACTCAAATAATTTAAAATAAAGAAGTGCGGACTGTTTTATGAGGTGGCGTAAATAATACAGATACGGACAATATAAAATATGTATATTTAAAGCAGATAACTACTAAAAAAAAGTATCAGTACATGTTTCGATTGCTTATATTTATTTATACATTGAAAGAGTTCCACTATTAAGCACATACAGAATATGCGGCGCCAGATAAAACATATTTGTGTTAAGAGAAAATGAAATTTGATTTATTTTGTCTCCTCAAATAGAAGAGAGGGCTAATTATAATTAATAATTATTAATTACGATACAAAAAATTACAAAAAACATGAATATTATTTTTGAAAAGTTGCTGTTATGATAAATTTTATTATATTATTATTAAATTTAAGCACGCGCAACATTAATGTATTTTAAAATTTTCGAGACATGTGAATTGTTGATTTCATAAATAAAAAAAAAAATTGGACGAAAGTTATTTCGACAAAATTTCCCTCGCTTCTGAAGTACAGTCCAACAAATACTGTTTCTCTGAAAAATGATAAAAATTGATTTTGTGGAATTTTACTTTACATTATAACCTCAATGGAGTAAAAACAATGTAAAAGGTACTAGTCACAGTGTAATAGAAAAAAAGAAGGTTTCACCTCCTTAAAAAAAGGCAGTTGGGAGCGCCGAGAAGATTTAATATTTTTAAAATAAGGCACTTGGGGCCCCCGAGAAGGTTTCGCCTTCTTTAAAAAAGGATAGTTGGGACCCCCGAGAAGGCTTCACATTCTTAAAAAAAAGACCTTCGGGACCCTATTCTTAAAAAAGACATTTGGCGCCCCCGAGAAGGTTTTACATTTTTAAAAAAGACAGTTGGGACCCCCGAGAAGGCTTCTCATTAAAAAAAAATACACATTTGGGGCCCCGAGAAGGTTTGAAATTTTTAAAAATGACAGCTGCAACCCCTGACAGTTTTACATTCTAAAAAAAAAAAAAAACATTTGGGGCCCCGAGAATGTTTTACATGTTTCACGAAGACAGTTGGAACCCCCGAGGTTTCACATTCCAAAAAAAAAGAGACATTTGGGGTCCCGAGAAGGTTTTATATGTTTCAAGAAGACAGTTAGAACCCTGGAACCCCCGAGGTTTCACAATTCCAAAAAAAAAAAAAACCATTTGGTGCCCCCGAGAAGATTTTACACGTTTTGAAAAAGACGGTTGGGACCCCCGAGAGACATCTGGGACCCCGAAAAGGTTTTACATTTTTAAAAAAGACAGTTGGAACCTCCAAGAACGTCTCACATTCTAAAAGAAAAAAAAAAGAAGATTTAATATTTTTAAAATAAGGCACTTGGGGCCCCCGAAAAGGTTTCGCCTTTTTTAAAAAAGGATAGTTAGGACCCCCGAGAAGGTTTCACATTCTTAAAAAAAAGACCTTCGGGGCTCTATTCTTTTTTACACTTTTTGGAAAAAGACAATTGGGATCCCCGAGAAGGTTTCACATTCTTAAAAAAATATATTTGGGGCCCCAGAGAAGGTTCTATATCAGTTGGACCCCCGAGAAGGTTTTAAATTTTTAAAAAAGACAGTTGGAAGCCCCGAGAAGGTAACGCATTCTTAAAAAAGACATTTGGCGCCTCCGAGGTTTTACATTATTAAAAAAGACAGTTGGGACCCCCGACAAGGTTTCACATAAAAAAAAGACATTTGGACCCCCCCGAGAAGGTTTTACATTTTTAAAAAGACAGTTGGAACTCCCGAGAAGGTTTTACACTTTTTCAAAAAAGACAATTGGGACCTCTCAGAAGGTTTTACATAAAAAAAGACATTCGGCGCCCCAGAGAAGGTTTTAAATTTTTAAATAAAATTATAATAATAGGCGAATTCATAAGCCACAAGTACAGGAGTATGTTATTTTATAAAATTTAAATAACATTTATTATGCAAAATTTTGAACTGATGTAACCACATTCTTGGTGGAGAGCATTAGAAAAAGTGTGGTTAACGTTGTACCATCCACACGATATTCCTAAACTTCATATAAATTCTGACAATCGATCTAGTAGTTTCGAAGAATCTCTAACAAAAATCGACACAGACGGAAATGGGAGATCTATTGTTTCATATTCTATAGGTCATATCCAATATCCAGAAAACATGAAAATAACCATTCGCTGGATGGACCCTATTATAATCAAATCTAAAACGAATGAAATGGTATATATTTTTTTTACGAAAATATGAATTAATAGTATATTTCATAATATGTAATTGACATGTCAGTGTGCGTTGGAAATTCAAATTTATGTTGGCAAAATCGTCAAAATATGCGTTTAGTATTTTTAAATTTATATTGATTCATCAGTTTATAAAAACATAAAATGACAACCGTAACTGTCAATTTGTCAAATATATAGACTTTCTGAATTCAAATTTCAATTTATTTATAACTTCAATATGGGCAATTACAATTTTATAATCAAAAATTGGTAAAGGGCGTTTTATATTTTTAGGCGTAGTTTATATAAGCATGACCAACCAAGATATCAAAAATTCTCAAAATGTAATCTACATTATCTACAACAAAAATTTGGTCTCATGTTATTAGGCACAAGTTCTCTCACCCCTGAAATATAATAAAATAACTCCGGTTAAAAAAATATATAATATGTATCGAGCACAGTGTACGAAAACAATCCCATGAAGAGATTGGACCGGCGACCTTCGCGTTCTTAGCAAGCCTAACCGTTGGAGCTAAAGAGAAAGTTACTATACAATTTTGATTTTTGGTGGGTATAGTGTAAACTTAAAACGTATTCATAAACCACAAGTACAGGAGTATGTTATCAATATGGTACAATAAAAAGTACATTCATATATGTAGTGTATGGTGAAAATATAGTTCATAGATAGTTCCTATTACGAGTTTGTTTCTTTCATAAGCAGTTAGCAGGTTGTTAATATGCAAAACATAGCAACTATTTTAATCAGTTCCACCACCTTTGCATTTCTTACAGCGTCCAAACTAAAAGAAGCAATAACGGAAAAGTTACCATCCTGTATAAAATAGAGGAGAATGGGAACGATTCGAACTTCATCTTAAACAAACAGTTGTGAAATTTGACACAGTAAATAAATATCGAAAAATAGTATTCTTGCGGGAATGCAAAAAATAAAACGGAATCCAAATTTATTCTACAATAAGTCATTTTCATTGACTTATTAGTAATCTGCGAAATTTTAAAACTTCAAATCAATAAGCTACATAAACATTTGAAATCTTTAGTTTTTTAGTGTTACCTACTCAATTATGGCTTAAGAGGATGTGTTTTTTTTTTTTAATTTTATGATTTCTTTTAAAGTTATGAAAGTGACAGCAAGCAGTAATATAAAGATTACTCTACAAATAGCGATCACGATCAAAGACAGCCATGGATTTTCGAAAGTTTGTCTTGATGTAAGACATAAAGTGCGACTTTAAAAAAGTTTCACACTTTGTTATAGTTTTTAAAAAACAGAATAAGTAAGTTAAACTTGTTATTTGTGGATGGAGAAGTCTACTAATTAAGTATCTGAATGATTTTAATACCAGGTGACTATTAATGATTGAAGCAAATTTTTATATTGGCAATTCTGAATTATCGGTATCAATGTCAGTAGGTCAGTTCACAGTTGTCAATTTTGAAATGAGCACGCTTAACAAACGTATTGATTGGTTGAGATGGTGGCAGCTGTCATAAATGTTACTTTGACAATCAGGTATCCCATCATAAAATTTTAATTAGGTTGCCAACCTGACAAAAAAAAATCACAAGCATCAATTGTCACTCAGTATTAAAGACAAAAAAAAATAAAATTTCGCAAGCAGTAGCTAAATGAACGTTAAAATTTTAACAATAACAAAACAAAAAAACTTGAAACTTACATATTTATCAACTTTTTCGCTCACTGTAAAGTCTGAATGACCACTTTCCTGCTGATGTTGTTCCAGAGACGACTTTTTATCAGTTTCAAAATTGCAGTCATCATGACTGCACTTATATTCCAGTTCATGCATCTTTTTGTGAAGTTCATATCTTCCATGATGCAAAAATTCGCGTCCACACATCTCACACTGATATTTCCTTTTTCTTTTTGATTGATTACCTGTCCCAACTTCTCACTCAAATTAACAATATTAATCAACACATTTAAAACTAACTATACCTGTTTTGTTTTTAAACCTCGCTTTATGTAAATTTTTGTTTAGAATAACTGGTTGTCCCAAATCTTCTCCATTTTCATTTTCTAACCGACCAATAACTTCCTCCACTTTAGCTGAATTATCACTTTCTAATACTTCATCCTCATCGGATATAGATTCTTCATCTATTACACCTTCTTGTTTAAATACTTTATCCAATTCTTTTCCTTGTATTGCTTCAGAATAACGAGTAGGTACTTTAATCCGTCTCTTTCTTTTACCATCTTCTGTTTCATCGATTTGTTCTTTTTCCTCATTTTTTAATTCTTCTGCAATATTTGGGGCTGGTTCATCCTCTTTGCTTGTGAGTATAGGTTTGGGTGGCCTTCCTCTTTTTCGCCTAGGTCTTGTAAGACCTTCAGCTCTTAAGGATAACTCGTGCTCTGGAGGGAAAAGAGGTCCTTGTGAGAAAACTGCAACAGGCACATGTAGCAACACAAATTATCTCCGTAAGTAAATTCAATACTTTGTATTAGAAATTTCTCTCCGGTTTCATCAGACTGTATAGTATAAGTGTCCACACTCGAACTAGGATTCACACTTTTCAAAGCCTCTTCCAACTGTTGCCTTTGTTTTTCCTGTCGATACAACTTATCTTGCTGCAACTTGTACAACTGTCTCAGCTTTACTTGCCCTTGAACTATCAGGTCCATGAACGAGATCGTAGCTTCCAATTGAATGTTGCACCCGGGGCAGATTTTTGTTGGAAATTTTCTGTCATTTTCGATCTGCAAAGAATTGTCACACTTGAATTTCCCGCACAAATTCACACAAAGTAATAAAGGAATCAAAGCAAGTCCCTTACTCATAATTAGTACTTACCTTTAGCGGCAAATATTTGTTAACGAGTTCACTTAAATCGGTTTCGTTTTCTGTCGTGGGGAACAATTCTGTTCCATTTACATTTTCCTGGCCACATAGTCTACAAAGAGACATTTCACATATCAGCGCTGTCAACTCCATTTTGTTTCTAGATTGTCGGAAATGTTCCTGTCACCGAGTAGCCAACCGAAGGCGAAGGTTTGGTCACGTGGTATGGATTGTTTTTATTTCTCGCTTGTACGCAGTTCCCAAGTTATCTCAGTTCATTTTTAAATAATTACATTTCCGATTAAATATTAAAAACATTATTAACTGTATATTGGAAATGAATTTGAAATTAAGAATCAAGAATGACGTAACACCGACAAAACAGAGGTGCTTATTCACAATAAAGCTACCGAGTGAGCGAGTGACTCAAGAAGGAATGAATATAATATTCTTTCCTTTATGAGGTGGCAATCACAAACAGTCAATTGACTGAATAATGACTGAATATTGCAGCGAATTTTTATGTTGGCAATTCTGAATTACAGTTGTCATTATTGACAGGAGCGCCCGTAAAGGAGGGTACACACGGAACTGCAAGCTTGACAAGCATGCATGTTCAATCATTTTGTCCTATAAAATGAAGTTAATGATGCATATTATTTTTTTTTATAATCATATTATACAATACAATTTAACATTATTTCAAAACTAACAAAGGACATTTTCAAATTGTAGTAAAATATTTTCAGTTATTTAAGAATTAGATTCCATTAATAAAAAGTTATTTGTTGATATTTGTGTTTGATAACATATTTTTTTTTGCAGCATTTCTTTTTAGAGTAGAATAGTTCGGATTTAATGTGAACCACTCTTTACCGCTTTCTGATTAACGTGTCTGATTCTTTGTTCTTTTTGTTCATAAAGCCGAGTTAAATTTCATTCTTTTGAAATATTTTCGAATTCTAAAATAGTGTTTTGTAAAATGAACTCAGTCAACAGCAGAAAGCAGTCTAAAAATGTTTGGTATACCTACATTCGTTCTGTCTCTACTAAGCGACATGAACAGAAATTAGTCACAGTAAACGAAATATACTAAACTCACTTGACATACACCTAGTAAAACTTTTTACGGCTTAAGCAGCTTAAGCCAAACCACTCTTATAAGTGAAACTGGCTATTGTATAACTTAACTCATTATGACAACAATGGACAGTAATAATCCTTGCGGTTCGGTTATACAAAGCTTAGAATAGTCAGTTTGACTTCTAAGGGTAGTTTGGGTTAAGACCTTTAAGTCATAAAAGTTTTACTAGGTGTATGTCAAGTAAGTTTAGTATAACAGGATTCAGTTGGTAGGTGTAACAAAATTTTAGACTGAAGCATTCCGTCCATCAGGATTCGACTTTCTGAAATTTGAAATAGCAGGATTTGATAAGTATAGTTGCGGCTGTTGACAAGTATGTAGGAAGCATGACAAATAAAAAATTAAAATAAAAAATGATGGCGTAATCTTGCAATTTTGCCGATAATGAAGTTCTTTAAATTTTATAAAATACCATGTTATTTATGAATCCGTGTTGAGTTTTTATTCTAGACATCCAAAATTTTGTCAAAAAATCAAAATTGTATAATAACATTTCACAATTTAACTTCTAAATGGCAAAACCAAATTCTCATGCATTCTTTGTTATCTGAACGTGCTAGTAGTCGAATTCTTTCAAAGAAATTCCGCGAAGACAATTTTAAAACATACAACCGTCCTCAATTTTTTTATGTATACAAAGTAATATTATGTAATTAATGTGCAGCACAAAATTGTAAGGTTGTAGAGTTAATGATTATATTTTCATTAACGTGCCCCTAAGATTTTTAACTACAGTTTATGTTTTAAATTCCGATGTTATTTCAATTTTACTTCAAATTTGTTGTTAGTGGAAGGGTTTACGAAAAAATCGCAATAGGGTTATTTTTAAAGTCTGTCTTGCATTTTTTATGGCAGGATAAATAAAGAAAAAGAAAATAAAGGACGGGTGAGCGGGGCTAGTACTTGGCCAAATAAGACTGATTTTGGTAAATAACCTACTCTCTAAGAAAATAAAGGGCGGGTGGGCGGGGCAAGTACTTGCTAAGATAAAACTGATTTTGCCAAATGATATACCCTCTAAAGCAGCACTAGCACTCTCTTTTCTGCGAGGGTATCTCATTTGCCTAAATGAGTCTTATCTTAGCAGGTACTAGCCCCGCCCACCCACCCTCTCTTTTCTTAGAAGGTATGTCATTTGCCAAAATCGGTCTTATTTTTTAGCAGCTAGGAAATTTCTGCAGTACTACACCGTTTTCAGGAACATTTTAGAAACTTCAATTTCAGAGGAGTTCACAACGACAAAATTTTAGATATGTCAAAGTGTAGTATTTTTCAACGGCAACGACTGTACATCAAAATTCGAAATTACAAGATTTAGGATTATATTGTTAGCACTATTTTGAAATTCGAAACTGAGATGAGTGCGCTAAAATATCTTGGAAAACTTACGAGTATTTTAACTTTTTCTAATTCGCACTTTTTTCCATCCATTTTTAAATATATATATATTTTTAAATTTAGTGATTGGTACGACCTATTTTAGACTGTAACTTTTGGAAATTAATGTTCATAACAATAAATTATTAATAACAATGTATAAAACCAAAAATACGGTAAATTTCTCAAAGTAGCAAAGTAGCATCCAGAATTTATTGCACAATAAACTTAGTTCTGCATACGAAAAACAGTGCTCATTCTTTTGACGTTTATTTTATTTGTTATTTGACAGTGATATTTGTAATGACTACCAATCTTGAAAACATAAATTACACCATTCTATTACTAAACTTAAGCCATTAGAGCACTCATCAGTTTTGATGCTTTAACCCTGTTATTATAAAAACGGAGTAGAAAAAATATTTAAGACGGGGGTGTGGTATGGCATAAATGACAACGAGGAATCTCAAGAAAACAGCAAAACATTTTCGAGCGATTGGTAAAACGTTGACTAAAATTTGTCTACGTATTCATCACCTCCAGAAAACTGATGACGTTATTTGAAAATATGCAACACATAATACTTCTTTGGCATCTTTATTTTTTAGAATTACTTAGATAGAATGGTGAACCAGTCTTTACTGATTAATTTAAAAATTATGTATACATGATGGCCCAAAAAAAAATTAGTGCTCGAACTGAGCTATTTTAACATTTATTTCAGAAAATGTCATGGTAATGTTACGACTAGTGTTACACTGTACACACGTGTAAAAATCAATATAATTCCCCACTAAAATTTGTTTACCGTTGTTTCTTCTAGCATCTAAAAATAGAACGAAGTGGCCTATTTTGTTTACTAAGGCCTCGCGTATCTTATAAAACTGTAGGAGCTCAAGTTACAGTTGGTGAAAAGTCATTATTTGAACTATTAGACTGTATATATTACAACACAAAAAAAAGAAAATGTGAAGCAAACGATAGTTCTTTCAAGTTAAAAGGTGATTTATAATATAAAACTAAGAGGTGAAATTGGAGTTCCAATGAAGTTTATCGGTCCGGTCTCTAGCCACACGCCTCCACGTTTTCGTAGTCTAGGTGACAAAAATGTAAAAGAAGACATAAAATGGAATAGGAGGACAGGACGGACAAAGAGATAGTATCTAATCTTTTCTTGGACTTCATCTAACAATAGAGTGCGAGATCACACAATATAAGAAAAGATAACACAATAGAACGAGGACTGTTAAGCAAGCCGGTATTCACTACCCTACTTATAAAATTCGATTCTAAATCAATATATCTGAAGGTCAGTCTTTACCGCTAAATAACTTAAAACTTATTTATGTTATTTTATATACGTATACGACAGTTCTTTAGCATTACTGTACTGGCAGAAAGCTACATAAGACGGTGAAATAAAATTTGAATTATTCTATATTTAAATTCGGCGGGAAGTTATCAAAGTGCAGTTTATATTTAGATTGTTATAGCGAAACAATTTATTTTTTCAGATTAAACAAGCTTTCTTTGCTACTTTTTAGTCCCCGAGCTAAGCAAAGGTCTAAGTAGTATTGTAATCAAGTTCATGGGGCCAGTGACTATTTCATGTTTTCTCGACGTTTCATGACCGTAGAGTAAGAAAAAATAGGTCTGCCGTTTTTTTAGCTTGAGAAACAACATAATTAAGTTTATTACTAAGAAATTAAATCAACTACAACTTATGGATAAATTTGCAGCAAAAATGTTTTATAAAAATTATGAAATCTCGTAGTTTTGGCCATGGAAGCAAAAAGGTGACAAAAGTGATAGTTTCACTGTAAAATTATAGCTGATGCATTTTTAAAGATTGCATTAAATGTGCATTATGTAAAATATCGGGTTCGAAGTAGTAATTATTTTAGTTTGCACAAAGACTTATTAAAAATGCATTTCGTGATAAAATGTGAACATTCACTGGAATCCTGAACTGGTTGGCAGTTAGTTTTATCATTTGGGAGGATCTAATCACAAGTCCTCGAAATCCTAAACCTAAACTATGTAAATATATACCGTTCACTCTACATATTTATTTAACAAATAAAAAATGTGTTTCTTAGTAAAAAATTACTTCTAATTTAAAGCATGCAAAAATTTTAACTATAGCTGCTCAGTTTACGTAGTAGTAAAAATAATAAGGGAAAATTTGCGGGTGTATGGATCGGGCTGAAATTTACACAGAGGGATCCCAAAGGACTGCCACGGGCGTTATTATTGTGTTGATAAAACTGTGATAATGTAATTTCTGATGCGGTATTTCATAGCTTTTCATGTTTTCACAAACCTTTGAGAACCCCTTGTTTGTAGCCAGGTAAAAACAATGTCGATTATAAAGCACAAGTACCTTAATTATATTACTATTTAGGTTTTAGATAAAACGAGCAAAGAAAAATGCAACCTTTGAATTATTAACTTATTTATTGTATTTTTTTTCGGTAGTTTTAAAAATTAGGAATACAACACTCCTAATTCATTTTTTAAGCCGAAATATGCTTATGTATGTATATATAAATAAAGTAGCTCATATACACTCATATAAAATAATGACCGCGATGATAATCGCTAACAGTTAAATTTTTTTATTTTGCAACTTTTCAGTTGTCGCAGTTTAAAAGGTAAAAAGCAAACTCTTTTCTGCTAAACGGATTTACGAACAGGAAGTTAATTAGTCTCAGTTTAAACAGCTAATAAACCTAATCATTTGTGAAATCAAACTCAGTTCGCTAAACTCACGGTAGATTACATAAAGCCTCTAGCTAGACGTACGAG